CCCACTTCCCACCACCAAAAACATCCACGCCGCTCAGCTTTCCAGCATAATTTTGTAATGAACCAATCCTGGGCAAGATTCCAAATCAGCAATTGAGCAAAATAACCTTGAAAGATTTCTTTTTTGTTTGTCTGTTTGTGTTTTTAGCTTTTCAGGAACTGAAAATACTGCTTATAAGACATCTCCTATGCTAAGCAGAAAGAGATGAAGACAGGAAAAAGCCTGCTCTATGAAGGCAAACATTATTAACAAGTCTTTAAGAGTCTCACAAATATAAGACCTTAACAATTTAAAAAGGTTAGGTAAGGGAATTAGAGAGGAATTTTAATGAAACAGGGATCAGGAAACTGATCCTTCTATAAACCAAAAGGCTTTACCTGCAGTCACAAAGCAAGAAGGAACTCATATGATTAACCCTAAATTTGTATATGAATATCCCAAGTACAGTAGATATGGGGTTTAACCCTAAATTTGTATATGAATATCCCAAGTACAGTAGATATGGGGTTTACTTGAATATCCCAAGTGGCTCTGAACTAACCACTAGAAAAGGTACAATTCCCACTGTTGGCTATTTTTAGCAGTTATTTGAGACTTATTTTATTTTAGACTGACTTAGTTATTAAAGACTTCTTTCATACTAATCCTAAAATCCGTCTCTAAGTCTTTTCCAGGGAGCCACACAAAACAAGCTGAATCTCCATGAAAGCTATATATTCTTCCCTAATATTTAATCTAAGACATCCTAGAAATCTATATAACCCTAGATTTATCCATTACTTTGTAGGATCCTCCAATCCCTAGAGCACAACGTAGGCATGTGTATGTGCACCCATACACACATCATTTGATGAGCTGAACTAGATAAGTAATTTCTAAATTCCTATTTCTAAGATTTTAATAAATTCCTTTTCTTTTAAAGATTTATTTTTCCTTTTTCTCCCCAAAGCCCCCAGGTACATAGTTGTGTATTCTTAGCTGTGGGTCCTTCCAGCCGTGGCATGTGGGACACCACCCCAGCACGGCTCGATGAGCGGTGCCATGTTCGCGCCTAGGACTCCCACCAACAAAACCCTGGGCCGCCTGCAGCGAAGTGCGCGAACTCAACCACTCAGCCACGGGCCGGCCCCTTATTAAATTCCTTTTTAAAAAATTTAACTCATTTCAAAGTTTATTTAAAATAAGATTGCCAGGTCTCTAGGTGAATTCAGTAATAGCAGCTCCAAAACTATTTCCAACTCAAATATCTAACAAGTTAATCCCAGCCACAATAAAATGACTGTGCCATATATGCCTTTACAGAAGCTGTAAAACTATATTCTTTTGCCCAATATTTCCACTGCTCAGAATTCTTCTTAAAGAAAAACTTAAACAGGAATAAAATGCTATATACACAAAAGTATCAAAAGCATCAAATTTATACTAGCAAAAAAATAGATAAAATCAAAGTGCCCAAAAGGGTTGAAAAGGAAAATGGGACGGTGGGGGGAAATCATACCTGTTAAAACATATATGAAACACTAGATAGAAACTGGAGTTTGGTACATTATGGAACCGAGAGATAACACATTATTCTTGGCTATGATTGTAATTATAGATAATGTGCAAAAGGCTGGTGGTTTTGTGGGTAATTTTTTTCTCTTCAAAAATTTCTCTGGCTTTATGGCTGCATAATTTTTAAATTAAAAATGGAAAATATAAAGCTATTTCTATATCGTCCAACATTAATATCTAAAAAGAGAATATGGTCTCTTCCTCCCTTTTGGGGAAGCCTGTTGCTGAATTTAACTTAGAAGTGTCATTAACTAAATCATCCATGACTGAGACTGCTAAAGTAGAAATTCTATTTACATGATCAGAAAGCTGGCTAAATCTAAAACATACATTTATGAACCACAAGATGCTATTTTGATAATTTGAGGGATTTCATGTCATGTTTTCTTTGTTTTAATTACATAAAACCCCCATATTTCAGGAAGTCAAACAGCTGGTTTTGCCTGATTAAGTTTCTGAAACCAAGAAGTAGTGGGCAAAGGCTAGGCTATTCCATTTTAAGGAAAGAGAGTATCTATACATACCAAACACCAAACATTCGGAGAGAACACCAAAGGCAAAATCTAAATGGAAAGTATGGAGAGAACCTACACTCTTTAGGAAAAAAGAGAGGGTAGGGAAAAACTGGAAACTGAAGTAGGAAGATCACTAGCTTATGTGCGAATCAACACTGGTAAAACAATTCTTGCTGGACTCAGAGTTCCCTGAGCATAGAAATTCCCAATGCTCATCTAAGAAGTCACTACCCTTTGTTCAGTGGCAGAGAACTGTCCATACACTTGAGTTATGAACTTTTTGTCAGGGAAACCGTAAAGTCTAGAAGCTTCAAATCTAATTTCAGAATATTCCCTAATTGCTAATATAAACCACAGTTCAACCTAATAACGGTTCATATGGGAATGGAGATAGAAGCCCATCAGATATCCCCATCATTTGATCAGAAATATCGTCAATCTCCAATAGCAACCAGGAAATAGAACAGCTTTGTACAGGACTGGGCTTAGGATGAAAACTACTCTATCAATTTCAACAGAGCATAAATATTACAGCAGAAAAAGTTCCCTCCTCCTCCTTTGAGACACATACCAAATGTTTATTTCCCATCTTCTTGAAAATGAGGGGCAGGAAGGTGAATACTGAGCAAAACAGGAAGGGAGCAGAGAGAAAAAGACCAAGATTTCTAAAGGGAACGTATAGACCAAGGGAGGGTGTCAAGGTATTAATGGTGAAACATCACATCAGAGCTGACAAGCAGACTGGGGCCTAATATCACCCAGTCAGCACATGCTCTCCTTAAAGGAAAGCTCAAGTGAAAAACCACATTATAATCAAAAGGCGAGAACATTCTCAGAACGAGGGTCACCAATGATGAAGAATTTTCAATTATGATTCCTCAGGCTTCACTGTAGAGACATAACTTCCAATTAAGTTGATTATGAGTGTTGGCTGATCAGGGCACCCTCCCCTGAGTGATGCCAAGGTAAAGTGACTATTCTTGCTCTCCTGAACTCCTTCTTTCTCCACTTCATGCTGACCATACCCTCATATTAATTCAGTCTTTGTTCAGACTGGCCACACAATGACTGTTTCAATTTTAGCTCTCTTTCATAAAATGTTTTCTTGTCCCCTACCCTTTCTCAACTCCCTCATTCTAATAACCTTGACTATATTTGGGTGTTAGGCCATCTCTTCCACAGGCCACCTGTTGATTACCATTAGTTTCATTCAAACACTAACCCTAGGTGAAATTCAAAGAGCATCATGGACCAATCTCCTAAATACTGATATACAAGAGTGGAATAACTTCCTTTTAGAAAGTTTCATGAAATTAAATAAGAACCAAATGATGAATATATGTAGTAGAAGCACATTACTTTAGATTACCCTCTCTGAGGGACTGGACAACACCTTCCACTGCAGTCAAGAGTGACGAAGATGACCACTGTAACACCAACATCTGCAGAGAATCACAAAACCAAAACCCAGAGCTCCTTTAAGAAATCTGTTAGAGTGAATGGCAAAAATCATGAGACTTTTCTAGTCTATCTTGAAAGAGCTCCAGATATATTCTACCACCTTCCTTTATAGCACACTCAAGCAATTCTTATACTCAGGATGGTTAAGATTTTCTTGTAACTAAGATCTCTCCTACTTAAGCCCTTTCAAGGTAAATAATTAGGTTCAGACAAATTAAACATTTAACACAAATGTGAATACTTTAAATGACTTTTCATCCAAAACGACTGCTTCACAGTAAACAAGGAAAAAAAGTCACAGGCTAGCTCTAGCTTTTTGTCAACAATCTTAGTTGATATTGGGATTATTTCCCATCAAAAAAATTTTTTAATGTACAATTCATAACATATACAAAAATCAGAAGATTAAACATGTATGTAAATCTGTAATTTTTTTATAATAAAATGTTTCAAGTGTGCAAGTTTAAGTTACATTTTTCAGATAGTTTTTTAAAAGGTAGATCTACGAACTAAAAAGTGACCTATACTCCTGAACTTAGCCCCAACAAAGGACAATCTAACTTAACAGTACTGAATCTTTCTAGAGATTTTTATCTCTAGAAAATAACGCAAAATTGATTCACCAAGTAATTAGCAAAACTATAGTCTCTTTTCCAGTTTCCAAATAACAAGGCAAGTAACCAGACAACCTAGCACTTTCGAGTTTCTCATGTTAATGCTAGACATACTGTATTTTTAGAAAATACATGTTTTATGAATTCTGTGTTAAGAAAAATCCTTAAAACTATTTAATTAAATGAAACAAATTATATATCTTGTTGACAATTCTTTTCCATTAATGAATGGCTAAGAGACAATATTTATCAACTTGTTAACTTGGAAAGGGTGCCCCTCTTATTTCATCTGGCTAACTCTTACTTATCTTTTAGGTCTCAGCTGTTACTTAACTTCTTCTAGAGGCCTTCTCCAAATTCAGATTAGATGCCCTAGTTATATACTCCTGATAGCACTTTGCACTTCCACTAAGAAAGTGTTTAAAAAGACTGCATTGTAACTGTCTGGCAGTGACTGGCACAAGTAGGTACTTAAATATTTGTTGAATGAAGAGGTCAAAAATAAAGCTGTCAGAATAGCCTCAAAGTAGTATTGAAGTCAACCCTTCAGATTAGGCTACAGCTATAAATAAATAAGGGGTGGGGGAGGGAGCAGAGGTAGGAGGGCCATGGGTGGGAGAGGACACTCCCTGGTGAAGCAGAAAGGCTTTGTAAAAGTTTTTAAAAATAGTATGACAGTCAAACTGGACAGTAAGATGACTAAAAATGACTGTATGCTGACTGATACCAATTCATTCACTTTCATAAGGATATATATGACTGGTTTAAAAATTAGATCAATTTAAGAAAAAGGATACATACATATTTTATTTTAAAGTTACTTAAAAGAAAGATCCATAAACTGGAAAAATCTCACCTGTCATGGGATCAAAGAGCTGATTAGCTTCTAAGTCTGTAAAAGTACTACTACACACAGGACATTTGAAGGAAGCCCGGTTGGTGGAATCTCTCTCATCAGTTTCAATCCTCCTTCTCATGTGGTCCAATTTATATTTGACCACATTTACAAGAGTACGATAATTGATAAAGTAGTAGTTATGGCGAGTGGTCTTCCCATCTGCAGCAGTCTCTACCCTCATTCTGCATTTGATGAACTTGTCTCCCTTTAAATTATTCAGAACTGATCGAAGTTGCTTCCGATCAAACTTGAGCAGCTCCAGCATATCCTCCTCTTTCACACAGGGGTTCCGGATCAAGATGTCCAAGGCCAAAGCATGCTCAATGCCATAAAACCCCCGGATCACATACTTGGCTAACCTCTTCAATGCTGCAGGAACCTCAGTGAGGACGTCTGGGTCTGCCATTTTTAGCAGCAAACTTCAACTTTAGATATACTGAATTCAGAAAAAAAAAGAAAAGAGAAGGTTAGCTAGGCTAAAGACACAGTAATCATTTTAAATCTAGAATAATCAACCCATTAGGTAGCTGGTAGCTACCACTATTCTTGGAGTGCCACAAAGGTACTCAAAACATTGTTTTAAGACTTACAATGCCTAAGCATTTAACAGAGAACAAGATTTTTCTGTAGAGTACACAAAAAATTACATCTAAAAAGCTTGACATATTTCTTAAATAGTTATTTCCATGATCTACAGTGTGCTTGATCCCAAAAAGCAACTTATTACTTACAGCAATGACATATCAAGCCCACTTTACTTTAGAAAGAGACACACAAAAAAGCTAAATAAAGTCTATTCTTTTTTATTTTTTTTTTGCTGGGAAAGATTCACCCTGAGCTAACATCTGTTGCCAATCTTCCTCTTTCTGTTTTTTTCCCTTCCCAAAACCCCAGTACCTAGTTGCATATTCTAGTTGTAAGTCCTTCTGGTTCTTCTATGTGAGCTGCTACCACAGCAAGGCTACTGAAAAGGAGGGGTGTGGTTCTGTGCCCAGGAACTGAACCTGGGCAGCCAAAGTAGAGAGCACTGAACTTTAATCATTAGGCCATCACAGCTGGCTTGAAGTCTCATTATTCTTTTTATTTATTTATTATTTTTTTACTTTTTATTTTATTTTTTTGGGGGGGGGGAAGACTAGCCCTGAGCTAACATCTGCTGCCAATCCTCCTCTTTTTGCTGAGTAAGACTGGCCCTGAACTAACACCCATGCCATCTTCCTCTACTTTATACATGGGACACCTACCACAGCATGGCATGCCAAGCAGTACCATGTCCACCCCCGGGATACAAACTGGCAAACCCCAGACTGCTGAAGTGGAACGTGCGCACTTAACTGCTGCACCACTGGGCAGGCTCTGAAGTCTCACTATTCTCAATGCCACAGATCTTTGGGAATGCTGGAAACCCCCTGAGAAACCTAGCATTTAGCATATCCTTAAAGTGTCTTTCTTGAGTAAAATTTGTATATCAAAATATATTCTAGGATGTTTTACATAGTCATGCTCTCACAATAAAATCACAACAAACCAATAAACACATAAGTAATGACCAGTTGGGGTGTTTGGCAAAATTACTGTTATAAATCTGAAAGAAATTAACACTTAGATCCAGACAGCTTTACCAACCTTGAAAGTTAAATCTAATAACCAATTAAGTAAACACCATACAGTCCTAAAAAAATAAAAGTCCAAGATATCCTTAACTACTGGATCCCTTGCAGGACAAAGCAGAAGCTAAGTGTACCCAATTCTCCTGTCCATGACCCAGAAAGCTGTATTCCAGAAGCCCAAACTGGCATGGGCTAGACTTTCATGTGGTTGTTGGAAAGCCTGGGCTTTGGAATTCAGAGTTAGACAGGCTGTGTTTTGTTTTCGTAGCTGTGTGATCCTAAGCAAATCCCTCAAACAACTTCAAGCCACACTTTACTATCTGAGAAATAAGGATAATATCAATTACCTCAATGAGGCTGTGATGAATAAATGAGAATGTAAGTAATGTGCTTAGAAAGCACTTGTTAATAAGGATAGCTTCCATATCGATTTAAAAGGTCCTAAACTAAAAATGACCAGGCTATCCACCCAGACTATGTCAAATGAAATTTCCCTGCACCATAGAGAAATTTTTAACAGATATCCCATTGAACTATTTCAATAGGGAGTCATATTCTGTTATTAACACTAGTTTCTATTGAACCTTTTATTTAAAATCAGTGGTTACCATCAATCCTATCAAATTTGATCTCTTTTTATAAGAAATTATTTATATCCACAGTACTATAATAAGATATTCCTAAATAACTAATCTATACACATAGTTTTTTTTGGGGGGGGGATATAATGCTCTACTTGTAATAAAGGAAAAATAAAAGGAGTCAGCTGTAATATATACTTCATATTCTAAATACACAGGCATGACTATATACAAGAGATAACAAAGTAGCACCTACATCCAAACCTGTGGTCCTAGAGCCTTCTGCTCGTCCCAAGGCTTAAGGATGCCCAGCAAGGGCTGGATTCAACACCAAAGTAGTATCATAGCATGCTACCAGATACATTTTGTTCTCCTTTCCAATTTGGTCTATACATTGTACTTGAGCCCAGTTTTGGTTTTTTTGTTTGTTTTGTTTTACATGCTCAACAGTTGGCAGAACACAACACATGGCTTCAGAAACATCCAACAGACCAAAGAATGGCGGACAAATGTCAAAATAACCCACTTTTCTAGTATTATTTCTTACTATCGTATTCCCCTCCCTGATCTCCCATTCCATACACTCCATTTTCCAGACCAATGATTCTCATCCCTTGTTCTTAGGCAGAATCATCTGCGGAGCATTTAAAAATACTCACCCTGGGCCCCATTCCCAGAGATTCTGTTTCAGCTGGGCTGGGAGGGCCAGATTAGGCATTATCTTATTTTAAAAGCTCTTTAGGTATCTCTAATACACATAAAAAGTCCCTGACCACTGATCAGACAAATCTGGTGCCTGGCTATCACATAACCTACCATTGCACATCCTGCATGGGGAGGACCCAGTGCCACTTACCATTCACCCGGTTTCCTTTGCCTGAAACACCTTAGGGGACCCTAAAGATTTGAGCAAGAGAGTGACATGAGGACTCTGCAGTCCAATAGTTTTTGAGTTTTGAATCCCAGTTCCACCATTCTTAGCATGTGACCCTGGAAAATTCTGTCTCAGCTTCCTCATACATAAAAAGTGATTAACAGTGCCTTCTTCATAGAGTTGATGTATGGATTAAATGAGATAATTCATGTAAAGTGTTCTGCTTTCAAGGCTTGATATCATAAGAGTTCCATTAAGCACTGGCATTCACAATAAGACCCCCTATTTAGGAAAGTGACTCTTATAACGACATGAGAAATGGACTGAAGTAAGTGAAGATAGACGCACTGTGGAAGGATGAGGAGCTAAGGAAGAGAGCAAAATTGCAAGAGGCTAGGATGAATGAAACTTATTACAGAAACAAAATCAAAAGGACCCAATAATATATTGGAAATAGAGTAACAGAGTAGGAAAATTTTAAATAGCTATTTGGGTTTTATTTTTACAATTGTTTATTACGGTAAAATACACATAACACAAAACTTACCAATTAACCATTTTTAAGTATACAGTTCAGTAGTATCAAATACTTTCATAATTTTGTGCAACTATCACCACCACCCATCTCCATAACTCTTTTCATCTTGTAAAACTGAAATGCGATAGCCATTAAAAAATAACATAGTTTAATATTAAACAATAACATGTAGCTATCTGCTTTGAGGCAGAGTAATTAGGAGGACAAAAGTACTACCATGAGAAATAGGTTAGCACCTGAAGAGGAACAGGTTTGGAAGAAATGAAGTGTTCAACTTTTAGTTGCTTGTCTTCACCACAGAATATTCTGGTGAAGATGTCAAGCAGGTAGCTGAACAAATGAAACTGGAGCTCAGGAAAGTAGCCAGGTTATGCCACCTTGTTCAAAATCTCTGTCTTCTAAAATGCTCCTTCCTGACCACTGTGTTCTCTCTTCCACCACTTCTACTTCCCCACTTAGGCTGAAGCTCCTCCTCAATTTCTGGATTTCTTAAATTACTTAGGTCAGAGGTCTCAAACTGGCAGCCTTGCCACTGTTTGACCCAAAGAATGTTTTGAAAATCTTCTGAATTACATTAGTTGCCAACATTTAAAATTGTGAGATTTCACATAAATTTCAACTTTCAGCTCCTCTTGAAAATTGGAATTATCTGAGGAAAAAAGTGAGGCCATGTTACCACATGGAAACAATAAGCTGAAGCTGAAGAGCAGTTGACAGTTTTAAAGAGGGAAGGAGCTTGGCTGGCCTCTGGAGACTTCTGAGTGTGCAACCTCTCAGGCCAGCCCTTTTCTGTCTCAGAGTCCATCAGTCGTCTCCCAACCTCACCTATCTCCCTAACCAGCCCAGACCCCCAAAGGCAAATTGGTTTTGTTTTTGAACTGTATGTATTCTAATCATAAAAACACGTAAGGACTACTGTGCACCAAGCACAGAGTTAGAGAAACAACACTGAGACGAATGCATTCTCTGCACTCTGTCTACCCATGGGCCTCATCTCCAGCTAGACTGGCATTCTCTCAGTGTCACATGAGCCGTATGTGCTTTCCCCACTTTCAGGCCCTCGCACATGCTGTTCTTTCTGCCCTCAAAGCTAAGCCCAAACTCCCTTCTCCTAATCATCCTTCATATCTCAAATGACATTTCCTCAGAGAGATCTTCCCAGATTCCCCTGGGTAGCTTAGTATGACTCCCTCTCACACGTTCCCATAGCACTTTACCCTTCTTTCTTGCAGGGCACATACTCGTACTTTCTCCATGTCTATCTCTGAGGCTGGGGGCTTAAACTAGTTTACCGGCTTTCCAGCATCCAGCACAGCTAGGCAAGTACTTCCATAAAACTTTCAACAGATAAGCACGTGTTCTTCCAACACGCCCACCCTGCCAGCCTCCCCCAATTCACTTCCTCCACTGCTGCTTCCAGAGTAGAGAAGGATAGGCTATTAGAAATCCTCTTCCTAAACTTCAAATGGTTTTAAACAGAAGGTGACAAGATCAAATTCGCGATTTTAAAAGACGACTCTGACTGCAGGGCGTAAAATAAAGGGAGAAAGGAGCAGATGCGGAGAGCCCAGGTGGATTATTTCAGTATTCTACTATTCCAGTTCTAGAATCTGGATTCTCTACATCTAACTGTGGTTTTCTTGGTTACCATATTTCATGGTATTCTCCACGCCTTCCTACATAAAGCGGCTATCACCGCGAAACCTCCGGACCAGCTGCCCTCCACGAGCCCGGTTCAGTCATGTTCACTACTCCCCACTGCGAGACCCCGAGGCCCTAAGTTCCCTCGGACTCTGCCAGCTGAGTCCAGGGCCACACTCGGCGAGGCCAAGTCCGTCCTACCAGAGGTCGCACACGGGCCGCTCCGGGGTCAATGGTTCTTTGGAGGACCAAGTCAAGAGAGTACCTAAGAGGAAGAGGGTAGCTAAGGAGAGAGGAGCGAAAAGGAGGAGAAACCCTGAAATGCGACTCCAGGCCAGGGAACCGAGAACAAGGAACAGGGAATAAGGTTTACCAAAGCGAATCCTCGAACACTCCCACTACAGCTTCCCTCAGCGCCTCAACTACCGGCTTAACCGAGCCACGCCACCTGTGCGACAACGAAAACGCATCATTCCTGCGACCAGCTTTGGAAACCACCGCTACTCTTAACCAGGCGGGCCAATCAGCACAGTGAAGCCTTCAATCAAGGCGTCATGCTCCGATTGGCCAATGAAATTAAAGGCTCGGCCTTCCATACCCAGCTCTGATTGGCTTACAGTCCCGGAAAAGGTGTTCACCTCGGGAAGGTTGTGGCAAGATGGCGTCCCTGGATCGGGTGAAGGTACTGGTGTTGGGAGACTCAGGTGAGCGGTTTAACCCAATTCTGGGGCTCCCGGCACTTTTGAGTTATCTGATAACCCTCCCCCTTCACTACTCTCTCCCCTACAACTCGCTGTGTCTGGTCCGTGGCTGAAAGCCCTCTCAAGCCTAAAGACTACACTTCCCAGAGGACTTTGCTCTGTTTGACGCAGCGGTGGCGTCGCGCGGGTAGGGGGCGCAGAGCCCCAGTCCTTCTCCGCCCTCGCAGTTCTCCACGTTGGTCTCCCTGGCGCCTGTAGTCTAGTGTGTTTTGTCAATTCCTTTGTTTTAAAAGATATCCTCACGCTGAGTACTATATTGGGTGCTGTGTGAAGTAGACAGAAGTTAGGACTGTCCCATCAAGAGGTTTGGTTCATTAAGTCAGTCAAACCGATGAGGATTATTTTGGGCAGGTTGCTTTTGAAACTGCAGACAGGAAAGAGGCTCTGAAAAGTGGAATTTACTTGCCCTTTGTTAAGAGATATTTACATTTGTAAAGGAGATCTGTATCTGTAGGGGTGTCCCCCCTCTCTGCACCGGGAGGAAGTGGGGATGACCTTATCTCTAGAAACTCTTAATGGGGAAGGCAAGGACTTAAGTCTACATAATAATCTTGCTCTTGTTTACTGTCTGGTAACCTCATGTAACTGACCCCCCCCCCAACATCTTTTGTCTTTAGCTGAAGATAATATTTAAGGTGGTGGCTTCAGCCATTTACTTAACCTGATCTGATTCTTATCTAAAAGTTATAGGACCACCCAATAACCAGACCTCGCCTCTACTGATACCATTTTAACAACTTTTTTTTTTTACATGTTCTTTTCCTTTGTCTTGTAAAGAGATAACTCATATACCTATGCCTTAAATTTAGCCTTGCCCTGAACACGTGTTTGCAGCTCTTCACTGCCCATGGGTCCTCTCCCCATGCCTGCAGCTCTTTACTGCCCATGGGTCCTGTCCCCATGCTATTCCACGCTATTCTCTGAATAAAAGAGTACTACTGCCACAGGTTGAGAGTCCAAGAAATCTTTCTTTCGAGGACTCGGCTCCCCGAGCCCACATCAAAACGGACTCTAAGAAGAATGACACTTGTCAACCGAATAAAAATCCCTACAATTTAAGCAGCAGATATTTATTTCGGCCATTCAAATTATAATTCGGGAGACAGATTCAGGTAGAAATCCAAGACATGTTCCGCTAGGAATAAAAGTCTTGGGCATTTAAAGGCGAAGAAGGGACAGTTGTATTACAAAGAATTTAATTGGAATTGGAGGCAGAGAGTTGGTCTTGGCTAAACTGATTGACTGTTGATTCTGTCTTCAGAAAGTCCACAACCCTCAGTCTTTGCTATCTGGTTATCCATTCTCCTGCTGACTTCTCAAACAATTGCACAATTGCCATTTTGGCCCAGTCCAAAGGTTTGGCCAGTCTGAGGTTGAAGACATCAAAGCACTTTCTCTGGAAAGGTGGCTCTGACTCCTTTTAAAATGGCTCCAGTATAGTCAATTTTTGACACGCTGTTCCAAGTGCTTTGCGTGTATTAATTTATTTAATCCTGAGATCAGCCCTCTTACCCTGGTTTACAGGTGAGAAAATTGAGGCAGAGAGATGTGAATGATAAAACCAAGTTGAACCCAGAGTCCATGTACTTAACAGTAGGCTATTTATGAAAGGAAGTATTGGATGGTAGTCCTATTTTACTCTCAGCTGAGCTTCTTGATTGCTTTGTTCTCTTTAATCTTAATTGAAAGCATAGTATGTGCTAGGTTGTAAGAAATAGAGAAAGTAAGATAAAGACCATATTATGAAGCCAAGCCCAATTTAATCCTTGTGTTAAAATTCTTCTTTTGACACCTTGGAAATTTGAGAACTAGAATTGAAGTCTGCATTTCCCCCACTCCCCTCTCACTAGCTTTTCTTTTTCACTATAACCTCCACTCCTATGCTTCTTAAGAACTTGGAATGAGTGCTAACTTAGCATTTCCTAGACCTGCTTTTCTGGAGGTGACCTTTGAATGTGTGCTGTGAGCAAAGACATTGTGCCAGATGATTGGGAGTGGAGTACATACCCCAGAGAGCTTGAAAACTAGCCTTAAAGAACTGAAGAAAATTTGAGGGGAGAGGAGAAGGTTAAGGAAGTTTTCACATTGCCTAAAGATTATTTGCATTACAGAATATTTTACAGAGAGCACTATTTAATATTCCCTTTAAAAAATTGCATTATGAAATGCTATGAACATAATCCAATTTGTGTCAATTCCAGTTCTTTAGCTTGAGGTGGTCCTGAAGTTAATTTAATAAAATGACTCAGTTTTACAGATGAAGAAAGTAATGGTGGTCTAAAGAGACTTGGTAAGGGTATCATTAAATAGGATTTAGAACAGGAATCCAGAGCTAACACAGTTCATGATATGTAAAGTGGGTGTTCTCTCTCGTCTATAATTCTCCTTTCCATTGCATCTAACAATCCCTTCATGTTACATATTGTTGGAATTGGTCAATTTATTCTTTCTTTTTCCTCCAAAAATGCTTAAAGTACCTATTACATAGCAGCCACTGTGTTGGGTGCTGGGGTTATAACTGTGGAGTCAATGCATTACAAAACAGAGTTGAATTGGCTGCTGCACTCAATGTAGAAAAGTGATCTGGCAATTAGTAAGCTTTTTTTTTTCTTTATAGTTTAGTTGTAAAACAGAAGATGCAGCCATGCCCACCAGGAAAAGTGGTTGACCTTGTCACACATTCAGTGCTGTTAGGCTATATGTGCAAAGTCAGTTATTACCTTTTTATCAGTTCCCTTTTAACAGTGATTTGCTGTCTGACAGGTTAGAATATACTTTTTACACTTCATCTTCCCTTGTATTCAAACTTCAAACTTTACTTTTGAATAAAGGCTTATTTCCTTCAAGAAATGTTGAGGATTTCACAGATAAATAAAGGAATGACTTGGGATTTAGAGATATTTGATAATTTAGTTAGTAATCCTGAAAGTCTCACTAACATGCTCATGCTGTTTTCTCTTTGTTCTTGCAAAGATAAGAGATGAGCATAACACATTACCAACAACTATATTTGGAACTGGGTACTTATTTAATTATATTGGGCCTTTTTCTCCCCCAGCAAATCAAGTGCATTCTTTTGATCTAATTTAGTTCTAGTGGTGAAAATGTAGAATCATAACCTCCCAAAATTCTTAAAGAAATGAATAGTTAGCCATTGTTCCTGGTACTTTCAATTGTTCTTGCTGTTTAGAGTTCATCAAGTGTTAGCTGACTCTTATCACCCAAAGTTAATTCATGGAGAGTTATACAGTATTACTGCATAAAGATGTTTACTCTTGACACAGTTAAGCCTAACTAGAAGCTCAAGCCTTGCATCAAGCTGATAACTAAATGCCTAGATATGTGTCTCCAACATAAACAAACCTACATGCAAACACAAAAATCGACAATATGCCCTGAAGGTCACAGATGGAATGCAGTAAATACAAAGACAAAGCTAAGTTTGAGTACACAAAAATCTTAAGTGTCTGTATGTGAAAAAAGAAAAAAAGGAAGGGGAAACCTGGGAAAATGTTTGATCAATTAGAAGAGACGGCTAATATGTGAAGAGGTCATGTGAATTGCTAACACTAAAACCCAGTAGATAAATGGGTAGAGCACATCAATAGATAATTCATAAGAGAGGAAAGACAGCTGATTAGCAAAGATGATCATAGTGTATATCTTTTCCAGAAAGTAAGGAAATGCAGACTAAAGTGAGATATCACTTTTTTTTCTCTTATCAAATTAACAAAAAGGAAAAAGCAACTAGATGATATTATTGAGGTGCAACAAGACCTGCAGGCTTATGTGTATGGCTAGTGGCAGAGTAACCAGAAGAAAGGTGTCAGTGTATATCAAGGACTTGAAATGTTCATTTCCTTTTACATATTAATCTCACTTCTGGGAAGGTATACTAGGGAAATAATTTTAATTTTAAACAAACGTTTAAACAAATCTTTTCTTAGCATAGTGAAAATTTCAAAACACTAAATATCTAATAATGAGGTAATGCTTAAGTAAATTGTTATGTCAACTCTCTAAACTTCAATGGAAACATTAAAAATGTTGAGGAAGATTCTGTAGTAACATGGAAAGTTTTAGTCACTAAATAAATACTAATTAAGGCCATGTTGAATATTGGAGGTAGAAAAAGATAACTAAAACCTGGTACCAATCCTCAAAGAACTTAAAATTAAAAGTGGGTAAAACCTGTAAACAAATGTAATGTAATAATGTATTTTAAGTGCTCTATAGAAAAACGTACAGGATATAGTGGAGACCCAGAGGATGGTGGATGATGTGCCATAGTTATATGTGTGTGGAGTCAGAGAAGACTTTATGATTAGCATGATGCTGAGTCTTGAAAGTAATTCACCAGGCCAACGGAAGAGTGGAAATGGAGGGGGGAGGATGGGAAGGACATTCCAGACAGAACCAGGTGTGTAAACAAAGGCATATGTGTTGTTGTTAAGAACACTGTGTATTTCACGATAACAAACTGCTTATAGGAAAACCCTGCTTCTGGAATTAAATAAACCTACATGTTGACAACAGTGCTCTTCAAGTGATTTTTTTTGCTTCTTTTTTTTTTAATACTATCTAGATTGTCTGTAAATATAACATTTTATAATAAAAATAAGTATAAGTGATAGTTTCATACACAGTAATGCACACAAATAGATGGTCTAAATTTCTGATACAACTAGTGATGCATAAAGATTCCCCACCCATGCTTGTCATGATGGTATCTCAAAATGTTAATTGAATGAGTGACTACACGTGGATGTATAGGGAAATGTCATTCCCTTGCCTGTTTGTACAGATCTCAGAATGCTAACCCTAGCATTAATAACTAGATTGCCCTGAATCCAGGAGCTCTAAAAGAAAAGAAAATGCTGCCTTAAGATAAAGGGCCAAGATATAGAAGAGAGAGTTGAGTTGTTCTCTTTTTCCACAGGGTAAGTCTGGGCCAAATGGTTGGCTGCCTTTTAAAAATCACTGTGTGGAAGAACTGAAATGTCTAAATTTGGAATTGTGAAGTATGAGTCCCCGTTACTGACAGTGTTCAAGCACAATCTGGAAGACTATCTAACAAGGTACTTTGGAAGGGACCTCTGCCTTGGTGGTCAGATTAGAGGATGACCTCCAAGATCTGTTAATATTCTACAATTCTAAAATAGGCTAAATAGATGAAATCATTCAAAAGGAAAGGGATTAGTTCATATGAAATTGTACTAGATTAGCAGTTCTCAAAGTGAGGCCCCTGGACCAGTAGCATCAGCATCACCTGGGAATTTGTTAGAAGTGCTACATCTTTGAGCTTCAAGGCAGACCTGATGCATCAGAAATTCTGGGGGCAGGACTTAGCATTCTGTGTTTTAACAAGCATTCCAGGTGATTCTGATGCTAAATTTGAGAGAACCATTGTCTTTGACCATCTTCTCTTTATCAGTAAAGCTTATTAAATGGTTGGTATGCTGAACATCCTTTAAACAACCGTACTTTACATACCGTTATTACTCCATATTCTCAGACTTACTATTGCCATAATAGATTTCAGCGAGTTTCTTATATGACCAGAGTTCTTGTATCTCTTTCAGGAGTTGGGAAATCTTCACTAGTTCATCTTCTGTGCCAAAATCAAGTACTGGGAAATCCATCGTGGACCGTGGGCTGCTCAGTAGATGTCAGAGTATGTGTTTCTTTTATTTTAGTTTTTTTATAGTCATGTTAAAGATAACTCCTTCAAACTACATAATCAAATTACACTACTGTAGTCAAGACTGAGTAATAATAATAGCTGGGCTTTATTAAGCACCTACTCTGTGCTGGATACCATGCCAAATGCTTTACATGCCTTTGCTTATTTAATCTTTTTTAAACTGTGAAATATAGCTGCAGAAACTAAGGCATAGAAAAGTTAAGTAACTTCACCAAATACACTCAGTGCATAACAAACAAAGTCAAGATTTGATCCCAATTAGTCTTATTCCAGAGACTTCAGTTTTAATTACTATGCCATATATCTAGAGTTCACTTAGTATGTTCCATAAATAAATCTGCCTAAGCCTTTGCCACTGAGATGGCCAAATTTTGGCTAGAAATATAGTGTAAATGTGAAAGCTCTGGAGCCTGTTGTCTAGGTTGTCTGTTCCACTTCACATTTAGGAAACAGGTACAGTTTCTATTGAATTAAATATCTTCCTGGATGTTGTTGGTGTTTGCTAATTCCAGCTAGTCCTGTCCAAGTGTCTCTTCTCACTGAATTAAGAAATAAATAGGGAAGGAATGGTATTTAGCTACATTGATAGTTATTTTCCTTCAGTTCTTTGAAGCTATTGTTTCAAGGTCTGTGACTTATATTCCTGCTGCTTAGAAATCTGCTGTCAGCCTAATTATTATTCCTTTCTTTCTAAGGTAATTTCTTCTCTCTAGTTGCTTTTAAATGATTTTTTTTTATGGCGTCTTTGGTGTTCTCTAGTTTCACCAACCTGTGTCGAGGTGTGGATTAGTTTTTAGTCATCCTGTTCAGAAGTTGTCATGCTTCTCATGTCTGTCTTCCTTTTTCAAAATTTTTAGCCATTATCTGTTTGTCTTCCCTCATTCCCTCTATCTCTCCTTTTGAACTTCTATTAGATTTTTGTCCTCTGTATCTTTTAATTGCACTTTCATGTCTTCTATTCTGTATTTCTGCTTGGTGCATTCTGGATGATGTACTCACATCTGCCTTCCAGGTAACCAAGAATCTCTTTGACTATGTCTAATCTGCTTTTTAATATCTCCACTCAATATTTCATTTTAGTAACTGTAATTTTTAATTTCTAGATGTTCCTTTTGGTTCTTTTTCAGATGTCAAAAATTTTCAAAATATCCTGATCTTCGATAATGGTTTTACCTTTAATTTTAATCATTTTCAACATACTATTTTATGGTTTCTTTTGGTTTGTTCTATTTCTTTCTGGATGGGTGGTGGATATCCTACTTGCTGTATTTGCTGACTTCATGAAAATGAATCTGTTTGTATGGTTTGTAATTCTTAAAGATGATCACATCTTCAGCAGGATTTTTTTCCTCATTCCGGTGGAAGTCCTGTATGCTGTGTTGTGAAAGCACAGTGCCTTTTCATTTCTGTTGCTGTGAAAGCACTGGAGATGCACTAGAGATTTCAGTGGTCCTTGTAATTTCTCACCTTGGAGTTTCCATGCTATCTAGATAAATGTAAATTCCGCCAGTATCTGATTGTAGCATGGGCCTGTGGTTTCCATTTCTTGTGGACCTTTTATCTACTCACTACCACCCTACCCAAGGTCCTTGGCAGAAAGTTTTTTCTGCTTTCCTGAGCCAGTGGATAGAGTTTTTCCTACTCTCTTTCACTGACTGGGCAGCTCATCAAGGGTCTGGGTTTCATGAAGGGAGCTACAGTCTGGTCTTTGTCACTCATCCACGTGTGCTCTTGCCTCACAAGCTGGGAAACAGATTTCTATTCCCAGATGGGCACTGAAACTCCAGGGACCAGCCCCTGAAGCTATATCTGAATCTGGGTCATTTCCCACTTCTCACTCTGATTTTAAGTTTTGTCTTCATTTCTAGCATCTGGGGATTTTCCTTTCTTTCTCTTGAACTTGTCCTCTTTATTTTTAAAAAATATTTTTATGGCATTTCTATGAATTTGAAGTCAGAGGGGGCCTGTCTGTGTCATTTCAGCCTGCCATGTTCCCAAATTCTTAGATATAGAAGAAAAACAAATTCTAGATAATGAGTTCAGTGGAAACTTAATTTAAGTTCAGGAGACCCAATAACAAGTTCTAGACAAAATTCCCTTTGGACTTTTCTAGCTCCCTTTAAACTCCCACCCCCTGAGTCACTCCCTATCTTGCCTTTTGCTTTTTTTTTTTTTTTGAGGACGATTAGCCCTGAGCTAACTACTGCCAGTCCTCCTCTTTTTGCTGAGGAAGCCTGGCCCTGAGCTAACATCCGTGCCCATCTTCCTCTACTTTATATGTGGGACGCCTACCACAGCATGGCATGCCAAGTGGTGCCATGTCCACACCTGGGTTCCGAACCGGCGAACCCCAGGCCGCTGAGAAGCGGAGCGTGTGAACTTAACTGCTGCACCACCGGGCCGGCCCCTGCCATTTGCTTCTTAAAGAGTGACTTTAGACTAATCAGTTTATTTCTCTGAGCCTTAGTATATCCTCTGCAAAATAGAGGTAAATAAAACCTGCTTTATCTAGCCTACAGGTTTGTTGGGAGGATCAGAAAAGCTTAATAGACGTGAAGTTAAGGTATAGTGCTTTACAGCTTGAAGTTGAAATAGAACTGAAATTGTTCAATTTTCTGCCAGCTTCTTTACCCCTGCCCTGCCCCTCTTATCCCCACCAAAAGCCCAGTCTGCTCCTCTTATTTACCTTTTGTCTTGTTTTTTTTCATTGTCTTATTGAATTGGCTAAATCTCCAGTACAATGTTGAGTAGAAGTGATGTCAGTGGGCATCCTTGTCTCATTCCCAATCGCAGGAAATTTTCAATGTAATACCGTTAAGTATGGTGTTTGCTGTAGAATTTTTTGTAGATATGCTTTATCGGATTAAAGAAGTTCCCTTCTGTTCCTGTTTTCGTAAAGGTTTGTATCATAAACCAGTATTGGATTTTATCAGTTGCTTTTTCACGATAATCATAGTGTTTCTGATTTGTTTTGTTACTATGATAAATTATGTTGATTGATTTTTAAATGTTAAACCAACTTTGTATTCTTGGAATAAATCCAACTTGGTCTTGATGTATTAGTCTTTTCAGATATCATTAAATTCAGTTTGCTAATATTTTTTCAAAGATTTGCATCTAAATTCATGAGACAAGTTGGCCTATCATTTTCCTTTCTTCTAATCTCCTTGTGGGGTTTTGATATCAGCGTTATTATGCTAGCCTCATAAAATGAGTTGAGAAGCGTTATTCCTGTATCTATTCCTGGAAGAGTTTATGTAAGATTGGTGTTATTTCTTTCTTAGATATTTGAAAGAATTCACAGGTGAAACCAAGTGGGCCTAAAGATTTTTTTTGTGGGAAATTTTTAAATAGCCTTAAAGAAAATATGAAAACGACTATTTTTTTCTTGTGTTAATTTTGGTAACTTATGTTTTTGAAAGAATTTGTCCATTTCATGTAAATTGTCAAAAAATCTGTTTTGTATCCTCTGTTGTCTTTCAATATATGTAGTCTTCAGTAATATTCCTCTTTTCATATCTGGTATAGGTAATTTGTAGCTTTTCTCTTATTTTCTTGATCAGTCTTGCCAGAGGTCTATCAAGGACCATTTTTTGGCTTTGTTGATTTTCTCTATTATATATTTATTTTGTATTTCATTAATTTCTGCTCTTTTCTTTATTACATCCATACTTTCTTTAGTTTTAATTTGCTGTCTTTTTTCTAACGTCTTGAAATGGGAAGTAGTTTCATTGATTTTTTCCCCAGGCTTCCTTTTAGAGCTCTAAGGCTCTAAATTTCCATCTAAACACAGCTTTAGCTGTATCTCTGAAATTTTGTTTGTTATCATTCAGTTCAAAATGTTGTCTAATTTCCACTGTGATTTCTTATTTGACTTGTGTTTTTTAGAAATGTGCTGCTTAATTTCCAAACATTTGAGAACATTTATCATCTTTTAATGGTGATTTCTATCTTACTTTCATTGTGCTCAGAACATACATTGTATTATTTCATTCTTTGAAATTTGGTGAAAGTTACTTTTGTCCCATTATATGGTCAATTTTGGTAAATATTTCATGTGCACTTGAGAAGAATGCGTATTCTGTAGTTGTTGAGTGTAGTCAGTTGGGCCAAGTTTGTTAATCATTTTGTTCAAATCTTCTCTATCTCTAACTGATTTTTTTGCCTGCTTGTTTCATCAGTGGCTAAGGAATGAATGTTATAATCTCCAACTAAAAGTGTTGATTGGTCCATTTCTCATTTTAGTTCTGTTTGTTTTTTGTTTATATATTTTAAGGTTATATTACTAGATAAGTACTAATTTAAGATTCCTTAAACTTCCTGAAGGATTTAACATTTTATCATTGTGATATGTCCCTCTATATCTGGTAATATATTGTGCCTTCAAGTCTATCTTGTCTGATAATAAAATAGCTAAACCAACATATTTTTTCCAGTTTTATTAAGATATTATTGACATACTACTTTAAGATGTGCAACATAATGATTTCATATTTATATATAATGCAAAATTATTACCACAATAAGTTTGGTTATCCTCTGTCACCTCACATAGTTATAAATTTTTTTTCTTGTGATGAGAGCTTTTAAGCTCTGTGTCTATCAACAGATTAATGAGTAAAGAAAAATCGATTATTCAGCCATAAAAAAGAAGGAAATCCTGCCATTTGCAACAGCAAATACGTATAAATATATATATGTCTTGGAAGTAGGATATAGTTAAATTTTGTTCTGATAACCAATCTGACAGTTTTAGTCTTTTAATTTGATTCTGGGACGTTGCCCTCAGAGTTATTCAGAGTTATACATGGTGCCCGGGAATTGACATTTTAAGAAGCACCTGAGGTGATTCTGGTGTAGGTGAATAGTGTTTTAGGAACACTGGGTAGGATGTGGAAGCAGTTTTCCAAGTGGATATGGAAGTGGTTAAATGATGAGACTTAGAGCAGAGGGGCAAGTCTATGAATCTG